TCGTTAATGTATGAGTAATGGTCGCTGTTAGACAAAGATTTATTACAGGAGGCAAAAAGGATGGCCGCTTCGACCTTTACCCTCTTGAACCACATCAAAAATATGTCGTGAACTGCCACGTTCAGATTAATTGTGGAGCTCGCTACAAACGAGAATCTTCGTCTTTTAAGTTTATTTTTCTTCTAAAAAAGACTCATCCAAATCACATATGCTTCCATAGTGGAAATTGTGGTCGCAAATGGACAAGGGGTCGCATGAGGCTCTCAAAGTCGTCATCCTTTGTGGACAGTTGTTGGAACAGAGCAACTACTAGATTTGTCAATGCTCATTATAATCCAGGATTCTACCTCTCTACAACTGAACTTTCCATTTCCCAAGCGATGGCCTCATAACAAGAAGTGTCCTCTAATTTTCCAGGATAATCTACTCCAGTGCGTTACACGCAGCGTAGCCGAAGCCTTACCTACAACAGCATAAGAATACGGCATTATAACAATCCGTGCAGAAAGAGCGTGGAAATCAGAGACCAGAGCGGTCCATCCATCGGATGTGGCGTAATTGCGCAGCCGCCCTCCACTTCAAACAGCTTTCATCGCTACAAGACCTCAACTTGGTGATGGAGTGGGACAATCTGGAGTCGGAATAGGAGGAGGTGTAAACAGTCGAGGCGGATATGGCACTCAGAATGGACATGGGATCGGAACAGGCGCTCAAGTGTATCGAATCTGAACCATGGGAAGTTCACGGGATGAGGAAGGTACTATGAAGTATCGAAGTCGCCTTACGTCAGCAGTTGTGTCTTATTTGTTTTGTTGATGTGCTCACCAAAAACGCTGTATATTCGAGTAATGTTTATTTAACGAAAGTTCATTTATTTTCCCTTCATCGTCACTTTGTTAGGAGCGGGTTCTAATGACGCGGCTTATTTCCCTAACGCCATTATGTGTGCCGTGTTACCGCTCTTGAAATTGTCCCACTTGACACATTGTTCTCACATATGTGGCGCTCAAGATGCCTTCAAAGGTGATAATTGATGACTTTGAATTAATGATTCGTCTTGTAAGACCGCATGCACTCACGGGTCACGTGCAACCATCGATGTCGACATGAAAGAAAAATTCTTACTGGTAGAA